AGTTTGCTCAGGAGCAGCAAGAGGAGACTTGGGAGAGCAGCCCTCATTCTAGGGGACAGATACCTGCACTCCTGAGCTCAAGGGATCCCACTGAGCCAAGGGTGGGGAGAAGAGGGATCAGGAAAGTGAGTGAGATGGGTGACCACTTAGGCAGGCAAGGCCGCCTGACAAGTGACATCTGCACGGAGGTACTATAGCGGTGGTCAGAAGTCAGCACAGAGGCCCCAAGGTGTGCCCAGGGCCTCCATGAACCCGTGTGCCTGTGGCCAAACACAGGAAGAAGGGACTTTGCGGATGTGAGGAGAGTCACACATCCTGAGATGGAGAGAGCATTCTGGACCAGCCAGTGCAATCCAAGGACCAGATGTCCTCACAAAGCTCTCTGCATGGAAGAAGGTGGAGCCCGGCACTGGTGCCCGTGGCTCTGCTGACCAAAGGAGGCCCGGAGCCCGAAATGCAGCAGCCTCCAGAAGCTGAAAAAGGCAAAGAAACCACTTCCTCAGAGCCACCAGGAAAAACCAGCCTGCCCCTTCAGGTCAGCCCAGGGAACCCTGTCGAACTTCTGACTGCTAGAGCCATGGGTAACAGATCAGTGCTGGCATGGCCACCAGTCTGCAGGGATTTACTTCAGCAGTGATAAGAAACTATTAATAGTATTTATCAAAAAATAAACAGTATTTATTTAAACCACCAGAACATTTTTACGGGGAAAAGTGTTGGTAGTTTTAAGATCTTAGGTTGGAAAGTGCCACAGAACTTGAGAGAATAAGGCAGGTGAACCCCAGTGGATGCCAGCGTTGGGATGGCACAAAAGGACCCCACATAAAGTTCACTTTTTCATGCACACCCCCAGTTCAGGCCACAGCCTTGCTGTTATGAAAATCCCAGAGAGGCTTATCTTCAAGACAGAGCAGGGCCTGGGGAGTGGACAAGGCCCCAGTTCCTGTTGGAGAGTGTGAGGGGACAGGGAACTGTGGCTGGACCCCTGTGAAAGAACTGCTAAACTCAGCCGAGATTGGGATGAGGGCACATCGATCTCTCTATAAGTTTCCTATTCCAGCTTCAAGAAGGACTTTTAAATAAACACTTAAATGGAAATGGCAAAACAATACATTTTTTATAAGTGTGCGCAGCATGTAACAGATTTTACAAGAGCTGCATGGTAGGCCTCAGGTGCACTGGGCATTAAAGTCACAGTGCTGTTGACACAAACTTTGTGACACGTATGAGATATGTGGTCTGTCTGGGTCCCAATAGAACAGTGCATAGTGCCAGGCCAGGACACAAAGCCAGGACAGGACCCAGAGCCAGGACAGGATACAGAGCCAGGGACAGGACCCAGAGCCAGGACAGGACCCAGCCCCAGGACAGGACACAGAGCCAGGACAGGACCCAGAGCTAGGATAGGACCCAGAGCCAGGACAGGACCCAGAGCCAGGACAGGACACAGAGCCAGGACAGGACACAGCCCCAAGACAGGATTCAGAGCCAGGACAGGACCCAGCGCCAGGACAGGACACAGAGCTAGGACCTGACACAGCACCAGGACAGGACACAGAGCCAGGACAGGACACAGCACCAGGGCAGGACCCAGCGCCAGGGCAGGACACAGAGCCAGGATGGGACCCAGCACCTCACCCTGGGAAGGTCTCCAACAGGAGCTTGGTTATTATCTCACATTTTCCCCAAGTGACCTTGTAAAATACACAAGACCAGTAGTTCTAATGATCCTTCTTTATCTTAATGACCCAGGGAGATTGAGGTTAAGAAAAAAAAAAGACTTCCACAGCCCAATAAACATTTGTTTTACAGAAACAAATGGAGCTCTGAGCTCCCCACTGCGAACCCTCTCTGCATATGTTATGGGCGCTCTGCTCACTGGTTGAGCTTGGTTCTACAGAGCTTCTCCTCACAAGCCCGAAGGCCAGCAAAGGGCTGGTGTAACCTGCACTCAGATATGTGTCCATGTGTCTTTCCTCACCAGGGAACAGCAAGCTCACAAGCAGTCAGCAGGGCTCAGGCCTTCCTGCTCCTGTGAGGGACGCAGCCCAAGGGCGCCAGCTATATGCTTGATCACAGACTCAGGGTACAGATCAAAGGTCTCAGCATCAGGATATAATACTAAGAAGCCTTTAAAAAAATCCAGCAAAACATCCCATTTTGAAAAAATAGTAATTGTGGAGGTGACAATTTATCATAATATTATTTAAATCAAATTCACGGGAGGTGTGGGAAAAAGACAGAACATTACTGGAACCAGTCAGAACTTGGTTGGTCTGGACCTGTGCTACAAAACTCTGAAAAGGTGGTCATAACTGATACAGGAATCAGCCACCCCGCCAGAGCTCCACTCACCAAAATTGTCGTGCCCCAGAGGTCCCTCCCTGGCCGGTCTGTTAAGGGGGCGCACTAGGTGTGTACAGCACCAGCTCTGACCAGACGCAGTGCCGCCCTTCGTGTGTGTGGTTGCACATCACGTCGGAGTAAACTGGGCTTGTGTGGAGAGCACCGGCACTGTCCACCTTCCTCTCAGAACTGTGGTGCCCAGGCACCACTGAGAGGACCCGTGGAGGGCGGCCCCAGCCCCAGGTCCACCTGTGCCTCCTAGGGGAGTTGCTTCTGCTCCCCCATGCCAAGCCCTCCCTTTTCATTAAATTATGCAGCATAAACTTCAAAAGTCATTGTTTTTACAAGACTTAGCCATTTTTTTCTTTGAATAAACGGATTGTTGCAAGTCTTTTGCTGATTTCCAGAGGCTTAACAGAGTGGACTTTGACCTTTTCTGTGAATGTTCTCATTGCTGTTACAGGGGAGACGTTCCACAGAGGGACACCCTGCCACCCTAACTGCTGCATTACCATGATTATTTTTAACAGAAACTTTGAGGTTATTTGAAAATCTTAATTTTATTCCATTTAACTATGTAGGTGACACATAGTTCAGTAACTACTAATATTTCCCAAACCTGAGAAAACTTGGTGATCAGAAAACATACTTTAACTTACTGCAGGTCATGCCAACTAATGATTTTAATTCTGTCTATGAAAATTAAAACTGTGTTCAGTTGTTTGATATACTGTCCTGGGAGGAAGCCGACAGGAAGCTAAATGGCACACGCAGGAGAAAGTGGGGGGGGAAGGAAAAAAAGAGCAGCAAAGAAGAGGAAATTCTAAAAGTTCATAAGGAACCAACAATTATACTTGTCTAGTTGCAAATATAAAAGTTGTCAGAGATGGAATTTTTTGCATCATGGAAAACATATAAACATAGAATGTTGGTATGTTATTATTATCTTAACGCATCCGTTCACTCAGTAAACTGCCCTATTAAGTGTCTGCTGTGTTTCTAGCAGTACAAAAGTGTGCACCCCCCAGGGAGGCTCCTGGTCCAGCCGTGGCGATTGGCACCAACGCCAGGGGCCTCTGTGCGGCTTCTGCACCCTCCTGCTCAGTCTCTGTCTCATTTGCTTTGCTTCGTTCCTGAAGCCACCTGTCCTGTGCCCAGGTCACTTGAGCACTCCATGGAGAGGCCACACAGCGGGAAAGGGAGCCTCCACCAGCAGCCCAGGTGCACCACCTGGCCCTGGGCCCGAGCTCCTGCCCCAGTACATGGTCGTCTCACCCTCACTCCAGTTCCTCCTCCTCCTGCTCCTCACCTGCTCTCCACGAGGCCAGGATCACACTCAGCTCACCTGCTGGCTCACGGTGGCCTCCCCTGGAGCCCAGGGTGCCCGTGCCTCCTCCCATCCCAGCAGCCTGGCAGCCTGGGCTCCTGCCCTTCTTGCCTAACTGCACATTTATTTCCTTCAGTTACTCAGATAATCTTGGAGGCCACACATGTTTTTTCTAATCAAAGGTTTTTAAGTATTCGAAAAGCTCTCTCAGCTCACTGACTCTAAGAGCTGGTCAGATACCAAGTGCTGAGTCTTCAGAGCAGCTGCCATCTGCACCCCACCTGCCAGCAGCTCTTTCTCTCCTCCTTTCATTAGTGACCATGCCTCCATTTAGAATGTTACTCACAGGACTCCTCAAAAGAAATTAAAACAAAGCACTAGACACTTCAGAGCAGGCGATGGCAGCAAACGTCACCAAGAAGAGCCTCGCAGGTGAGTGGCAGTCTCAGCGCCAGTGAAGGCAGCTTCTCAGCACTGGCCCGGCGGGGACCCGCTCCTGCAGGGGCCGCAGAGAAAAACCCAGGTCCTGATGGAAGCAGGTGCTGGGAGCCTTCCAGTCACAGTGCAATGGGACAGGATTTATTGGCTTATGTTTATTTATGTTTTCAGGACTCCATACACAGAGGTAAACACGTGGCAGGCACGGCACCAGGCGCTGGACAGCAACCCCACACTGCTCAGTGGAAAGAAGGTTGGAGAGACACAGGGGTGTGCCACCCTCAGTCACACACCTTGGTACTGAGAAGGGTCCCACAACGAGGCTGTTCTCACAATCAAAGCCCCCATCCCAACCACAGAAAATGAAGCTGATAGTCCCAAATACTCAAGTGTGACACTTAATACTTTTGTCTCTCCCACAAACATCTCCCCTGACATTAACACAAGGCCATTCATTTTCTATACGATTGATTTGCAAATGTTACTGTCTTTCCATCTTTGCTCCTAATATAGATGGTTTCTTTAAATCCTGTGGTTTTGTTCCATATTCAAATTCTTTCCTTGACAACTTCAAAGTTCTACTCTTACTGCCCCCTTGCTCTCTGCAGTGTTAGCCACGGTGTTCATCTCAGTGTACATGTAGCCGTATGTGGCCACAGGTGTCTCTGTGTTTTCCTGTGTTTCACACCATACAGCCACAGGCAAGGAGTAGCACAGGCCTAAACTACAGAGGAGATTTCATTCCTAAGTTCTCCCTGTACTCAGTGGAAACTGGTATGTGACCCTAAATATTATAAAATTCCACCAAAATAAAGTCTGACAGATACAACAACGCTGGTATAAGCCCTGCATGCAGCAGAGACGACCCCCCCACACACACACACCGTACCTGGGGTGCAGACGGGTTGAAGGCCACACTGGTGACAGTGTCTGTATGCCCTGCCAGTCGGTGAGAAAAAGTGCTTGAGCCCAGCTCGTACACGTAAGCCTGTGGGACGAGATAGCATTCTGTGTCAATCGAGCGGGGAGTTGACCCCCCACCCCCACCCCATGCAGAGCCCTTCATGGTCAGTGTGGTCCACAGCTGACCCAGTGTGACAGCAACTGCTGACCCATGCAACAAAATGCCATGGGAGCTGCGGAACTATGGCCATAAACCATGCATCTTCTTTTTTGAATGTCTTAGTGAACTTAAACTTTCAATCTCCTATCACAAGACTCCATAACACCCACTCAATAGTTTTAAGGGAATGTTTACAATTGATGAGTTGCTTTAAGGAAGGTGTGTAGGTTTTATAATTTAACCTTTCCTTGAAGTCCCAAATTGAGTGAGAAAAAATGATGCTATTATTTCCTTACCCATAAACAAGAGAGAATTATATAGACAATACTTTGCTTCCTACTAGTCAGCTCAGAATTTGAGCAATTCAAATGCTTTGAAATGTTTCCTGTCTATTGATAAATAAGTTCTCCTCTAATGGCATTTTATATATGTGAGAGGGGGCTGAGAAAATGTGGACATGTTTTAAGAAAGAAAAAAACTATATTAAAATTGAAACACTCAGTATATCATGTTGATATCTTGTATGTTGTACCTTGTGCCTCTTATAATTGCAGAAGTCAAACGTGACTTGAACATTACAATTCTAACAGTTTTTCCCTATCTTAAAACCTGTCTACATTTTTGGCACCAAAAACTGCTTTATTTTGGTGACAAAATCCAGCACAGGGATACCATGCTGAGGGACGACATAATTGTTAAGTGACAGCATGTGTCAACAGGCTGTCTGCAAAGTAACCAGCCACGCATGTCCATTTTTCATAGTACGGGTCTGGGTGGTTAGCAGACAGCCCTCATATTCTCTGAACTTCTCCAGTAATGAAGACAAATGCCACACTGCAGCAGAAGAAAGATGTCAAAGTGATTCTTTTTCCACAAAAACACTTCTTTCCAAATAAATTATATGGCATACATTCATGGGTGACACAGTGTTATGAGATGCATATGGATAGCATGGTCACTGCAGTGAGCAGACTAACACGTCTGCCAACTTATGCTGCTTTTGTGTGGCAAGAGCAGCTAAAATATATTTATTTATTTTTAAAACCTAATACAGCACAACTATATGTATGTTCCTCTCTGTACTGAACATCAGACCCTGGACCTGCCCTGCCCTGCACACTGGCTGTTCTGTGTCATCAGATCCACTTCTCCCGTCCCTCTCCCCATCCTCCCCTGTGGTAACCATGGCTTCACTATTTGGCTCTGTGTATTTGAGCTCTATTTTTATGTATCAGCTTCAATTACATAATTACCTCTTGTTGAAAAGCCCTTCTTAATATTTAACTTTTGTATGAAATCTCAAAATAAACATAAAATGCCACCATTATATTATAAAAAAAGGCTAAGTAGACCCTGTCTAAAAGCTGGGTGTATTATTTTCTACACAAAAATGAAATTACATGAAATATATCTTGGTACAGGAGGTTCTTGAGGCACACAAAGCTTTTGATGATGACCTTAACTGTGAGACAGTGATTCCCAGCCCTGGATGGCAGAAGTATTTTATTTCACATGTGGACTTCACAAAGCCATGTTCCTACAGTGTTGTGATTCTTGCATAATAGAGTGGGATGGTGACCACTAACCCTGCAAATTATTCAATTTATAATCTAGATGTCAACAAAAGTGTTTTACTTAGAGGTAATAATTTGATTCACAAAGCACTTTCTCTCTGAAGAAGAGAAACAAGCCACGACTGACATGTGCCAAGAAGCTAGTGTGACTTGAAGTAGGACGCATGCAAGTAAATCTTGTTCCAAAACCAAATTTCTAAGGCCTGAGAAAAGGGGGAGAAAAACAAGGAAGAAACATCTTTTCAGGCAAAAGATGAGGACATGGCCCCAATCATGTGCGTGCTGGAATAATGCTTTACTACAGCTCAGTGCCTGTAGCTCAGCAGCTAGGGGGCCAGCCACATACACTGGAGCTGGCGGGTTTGAACCCAGCCTGGGCTGCCAAACAACAATGACAACTACAACCAAAAAATAGCCAGGCGTTGTGGTGGGCACTTGGTTGATCTGCTCAGGTGGCTAGAGTCCCACCGGGCAGTCTTTTGTTTACTTGGTTGATCTGCTCAGGGGATTAGAGTCCCCCTGGACAGCTGAATTAATACCGTCCTCCAGGGCGGCAGCAAGTTTTTGAATGTATGTCTGTTAGTTTATGTTTTAAGTGTAAATTCCAATCATTCCTGTAGTTCTATAGGGGCTGGACTAGCATCTCCCACATGATTCAAACCCTCTGGACACCCATGTGAGGGCCCCTGATTGACCTGGTTGACGTGAACCACTGAGTGTGCCAGGGAGGCAATTTGGCCTCCCTGTGTGGACGCCTCGACTGGGCTGAGAAGGGACCCCTGTTGGTGGGTCTTCAAGGAGTCAAACACCAGGAGGAATTAGCATGCAGGAACAGGTACCTACATAGGGAGATGTCTAAAGCAAGGTATAATTAATCTGAAAAACCCACTACAATTTTAGTGGAAGAGGAGCCTGATCACTTCCTTGGGCATTAGATCACCAGCAGGTCTGTTGAAAAGTGTGTGAGAGTGTGTGAATGTGGTGTGACTAAGAAGAACTCCGAGAGTGGAGTTGAAACTCCCGTCACAGGACCTGGAGGAGTATTAGTTTGCCTCCTATAGCTAAGTGGCAGCTCAAGTGGGGTATCGAGGCTGCCCAAGTTTTAAAAAAAATGGGTACATGTGAGTGCTTGGAGAATAACTGAGATGGGTAACAATAGGTGGGGTTTCGCCTACCCCTCATTCATGGGGTAAAACAAATGTGTGAGTGTGCCCTTCTTCCCGGCTCCAACTTTACCCCCTGGCTATTTTAAGAAAAACTGAAAGTTCCAGGTTTTCCACTCTGTCTTTGGTGGCAGCCATGTGGCCATGTGGGTCTTGACATTAGAAAAGGTTTTTATAGTTTTGTTACTGGAATTTCTTCAGTGAGTTTTTGGTTTCAGGAATTTAAAAATTGAGCCTGCAGGCCACAGATCAGTGATAAAATGGGATTTTGAACTGAGGGTCATGCAGAGGAGTAAAGAGTGCCAGAGCTATTGGCAGAGGGGCCATGCCTTAAGTGTTGCGGTCCGGGCAGTCTAGTGAGCTCTGAATGGCCCTTAAAAATCTGGGAGAAAGAATGTAAATCTTGTGCTTTGTAGGACTATAATAATATCAGCAACAGGTCTCCAAGATAGACAGCCTCTAAAAAAAGAGAAGAGGCCCAGGTCAAAAGTTTCCTACATGAGTCCTTTGTCTAGAAATAAATAATCAACCCTGAGAAATATTTTGGCCAGAACTTGGTAGATAATAATAAAAAAAAATACCTTTACAAACTAAATAAGTGTCCTAACAAATAAATGAATGCAACTCCACATTAGACAAGGTCATTAGGTCTTTGCTTTGGTTTTTATCTAGAGAGAATATTATGTGCTCCTTAGTCTGGGTGGAGCCAGCCAAAAAGTTTCAGACTGCTTTATTCATGACCTTGCTGGGGCTCCGAAAATTTGTACCTAAAAATGGGAGTCTGATATCTGAGCTCATCTAAACCTGAAAAAAGAGGTTCCCTGTGCAACCCTGAGTAAAAAATCCTATATCAATGTTACATTTCATAAAATGTCTCTCCTTTGTAAAATGTAAGAATTTAATTGTTTAAATTGTTAAGAAAACTGAGTCTTTGTCAAAAGATAAGATTCTTGCTTTTTAAACCTTCTAAGCATCAGTTTGGCCAAGTAAATGAGTAACTTCATAAGGAACTAAGATTCTGTTTTGTGAAAAATGAGTTTTTAAAAGTAAGAGAAGTTAGACAAAAAGGAAAATGGCATGATATAAAGAAAGAATCTTGTGTGATAAATTTTGTACTGAAAAAGAATAATTGTGTAAGAAAGTGAAAGACAGGACAAAAGTCAAAGAAAGTTTAGAATGTTTGTAGATTGTCTGTGCAGGTTAGATAAAGCTCATAAAGGAGAATTTGTGAAAGAATTTACATGTGATCCACTTGACTATGTATCTCCTTTAAAATCTTTTGAAATGTAATCTTATTTAAACCAATATTTTAAACCTTTAATGTTTGACAAAACTTCCAAAATCAAAACTCTAAATTTGAGGCTTGGCACCCACTCAGCCCAGAAAACAAAAAAACACAACTCTAAATTTGGTCTTTTTAAAATATTAAAACCACTGAAAAACACAGAAAAACAAATTGAACTTATTTATTAAAAATATATAGGAAACATTGTCAAATATAAAATGATAATTAATTTTGTATAAATTATGGTTATAAATATGTTCCAATACTATAAAGCATTGATTTATCCTAATGTATAAGACATTGGTCTGTCCTAACATATATTGTCAATAATAATTTTAATTCATTAAAAAAAATGTTTTTTATATAACTGGCTGAGTCCAAAGTTTATCCTAAAAAGAGACTGAATTCTCTCAGATTCAAATTCCTGATGTCTTTAGAAATTGAGTACCTTCGGGCTAAAAGCAGATTCTTAGAACTTTCATTAAAAAGTTAATGTATCTGTACATATTGCTAACCTAACTTCAAACAAAACAAAAATCAATTACATGGAACTAGGCTAGTTTGTTGTATAGGTTTTGCTCAAAATATTATTAATTCTTTCTATATCCTGTTTTCCAGAAGTCAAGAAAATAATTCTCTGTCTTTTGAGCTATTTATAGCTTTTCAAGTAATTTATGTACTTATGAGCAGAATTTGAAACATGTATTTTTCTCTTTCCTTGATTTCTCCAGAATTTAAAAGCCAGGTGATTGGAGGGATCACTTCTATGGTTTATCTTACAAGGTACAAGTGGCTAAGGCGCCAGCCATATACACCTAAGCTGGCAGGTTCGAATCCAGCCTGGACCCACCAAATGACGATGGCTGCAACCAAAAAATAGCAACAAGAGAATTCAGTCTCTTTTTAGGATAAACTTTGGACTCAGCCAGTTACATAACTGGGCATTGTGGTGGGTGCCTATAATCCCAGCTACTTGGGAGGCAGAGGCAGGAGAATCACTTGAGCCCAGGTGTTGGAGGTTGCTGTGAGCTGTGATGCCACAGCACTCTACCCAGGGTGACAGCTTGAGGCTCTGTCTCAAAAAAAAAAAAAAAAAAAAAAAAAAAAACAAGGGTACAAGTGAATCTTTCTAAGAGTAGAATATGAATGTCTTAACACAATAACAAAGAAAATGACATGAAGGCTATGTTAACCAGTTTGATGAAAATATTTCAAATTGTATGAAAACACCACACTGTACCCCAGTATTGCCTTAATGTACATAGTTATCATTTAATAAAAAAATTTAAAAAAACAAAAATTGATAAACTCTGCCAGGAAGCAAAGCTTAATTAGATATGGGCCCTGACACTGGTATTGTTCCAAAAAAGGCCTCTGTCAATTCTCCGCAATACAACAAGAACTCCTAAAAAAAACTAGGAAAGACTGAACAACAACAACAACAACAACAACAAAAACCCTAGGAAGAGTAGCAAGGAGAATCTCCACTGAGGTAATTAACCATGTTCTGTTTAGTCTTTTATTTCTGTACATCCTTTCTCTCTGGAAGATCAAAGAGACCAAGTCTAAGTCTAGAATCAGAAACCGGTCCCCCTGAAACCAAGGTAAAAAGAACTTTCCACCATCATCCTGACCACACGCACAGCAGTAAAAATGAAAAAAAAAAAAAATCCTCACCTAGAGTCATCATAGCTGACTGAATAAAACTTCACTGCCCCTTGAAAAATAAAGGTAACTTTTAAAATAGTCAACATGCCCTGCTCCAGCCACATACTAGAAGCTGGCTGGTCAACGCACGGCTGAAGCCTGAGGAAACTCCTCAACTGACTTGTCTTAATTAAACTTTAAACTTTGGGAAAAGGGAGGGAAAATGTCACAGGAAAAAGTAAAAACTTGTATGTATATTAAACCACCACCACTGTACTATTAAGGCCTGAGTAGAGAACCCAAGAAAAGTCACAGTCCCTAAAACCTCAGTGCCAAAAAGTAATTACTATGAACACCTGCAGAAACAAACTGATATTGAAATATTCCCTCATTAGTCCCATAATACTCCTCATTCTCACCCTAACCTTTAGCCCCTGCATCCTGAACTCCCCTGGACCCATGATTAGGCCCAGATAGTAACAAGCTCAGGGAGGAATGAAGAGGTTAATGTAACTCCATTTGGGAATGAAGAGGTTAATGTAACTGCATCTTGGAACTAACTCCCCATACCCCTCCTGGGCAAAGTTGCCCAGGAGGAATCAGTTTATCAAAAAGTGACTGGCTCCCTCCTCTGCACTTCTTGGCAGCCAGTCTGAAGGGGACCAGCTTCCCCCTCCCTCAGCAAGGTCAATCAGCCCAGATAGAGCCAGTCTATTAGAAGTGGACAGGCAACCCTCCTCTGGAAAGTCCCTAACCATAAACCCACCCTATAGCACCTCTGGCGTATCAGGTGGTGCCAAGCATCCCTGGACAACAGCTCAGCCAATGGCAATCCCTCCTGACAAAATGCTCAATGAAATTCCTCTATACACTTTAAAAACCTCCCCTCACTTCATTTCGGGTTTGCCCTTCCCCTGGCTATGCTGTAGGGTGGAGTGACCCAGGCATATGCTTGCAAATAAAGTATTTCGTTGTCTTCGCATGTGTGTGGTGGTCTCTCAGCAGTGATTTTGGTCCCAACAATATCATGTTAGATATATTGTTGTTTTTAAGAAATTCTTTAATTTCATATTTTGTTTCACATTTTCACACTGAGAGCTGTTCAATATAATTTTAATATCTAGATAGAGGGAACCTTTTATTTTTTTCTCTTAATACCAATTTACAGTATGACTGCATTATGTTGAGAGAATGCTGATGTTTTTGTTCTTATTTTAATGTATTAAGCTTTTCTCTTACACATTGTCATTGCTCATATAAGTTGTATGTGCCTTCAGAAAGAAGGTGACTTCCTTGTGGGCACATATTGCAGTGCACACCCATGACAGACTGTGCTGCTGGGGACAAATGCACTGCTGGTGAGAGAAAACGCACCTGTGACAGACTGTGCTCCTGGTGGGGGAACACGCTGCTAGGGGTGAATGCACTGCTGCTGACTGACGGCGCTGCTGGTGACAGAATGAGCTACTGGGGACATGCACGCACCTGTGACAGACCGCACTGCTAGGGACGCATGGCTGCTGGTGGCTGAACACACAGCTGGGCACGCATGTGCCACTGGGGACGGTGCTCAGGCTTCCACTGCCTGTGGTTTCTGTGCTCTTGACTGCCAAGGACTGAGTGGGATGGGTAAGTCTCCATTATTAATGTTGGGCTTTTCACTATTTTGTTTTTCATGGTTTCTACTTTGTGAAATTTCTGTTTATTTTCCTGAATGATTTGATATGAATAAATAGTTTCATTGTGAATTTCAGCATTTTGCATTATAAAGCATTTGCCTTGTTATGTTTCTTATTTGAATTGTGCTTTTTGTGATGTCAAGATCACGTGATCTGCTGTATTTGTATTTTCATTTACCTGGTACACTTAAAAATCAGACTTCTAAAAAATGAAGTTAAGAAAGAAATCTTGAAGGCAGCCAGAAAAACTAATTAAGCATATAGGAAAACAACAATTGGGACAACTTCAGCCAGAAAACAGTAAAATAGCATTTTTAACAAAAGAACTGTCAAATCAGAATTCCATCCCAGTGAAAAGAAGTTTAGAAATGAAGGCAAAATGAAGATATTTTAGGATGAAAGAAAACTGGGAGAATTCACAGCCAATAGAGCTGCACTAAAACAAATGCTAAAGAAAATTCTCCAGGCCATAAGAGAAATCACGCTGAAGGGAAATTTGAAACTTAAGGAATAAAAAAAAGTACAGCAATGGTTAAGTGTCTAGGTAAATATATTACCCTATCATATTCCTCTAAATTCCTTTAAAATGTGTATAATGCTTGAAATTTAAAGGTTATAACATTATTTGACAGAGTTTTGAACACATGTATATACGACACATACAACAATGACAATATAATGTGGAAAGTCTATTGGAGACCAATATGGTGGTAAGGTTTCTACATTTCACTGGAATTAATAAAATATCAGCTCTAAGAATCTGATAAAATATCAGGTATTTCCATGGTGACCCATAGAACCACCACATACACATACATACATGCTACTGTATGAAGACATACAGTTCAAGAAATATGAAAAGTAAAATAGAATTCTAAAAAACAGTCTGAAAGGAAGTAGGAAAGGTGAAAACAGAGGCACAAGCAATAAAAGGGTCACCTGCACCCACAAAGGCCAACTATTACACTAAATATAAATGGTGTGAACCTGCTGCACCCACACAGGCCAACCATTACACTAAGTATAAATGGTGTGAACCTTCTACACTCACACAGGCCAACATTACACTAAATATAAACAGTGTGAACCTAATGCATCCACACAGGCCAACCATTACATTAAATGTAAATGGTGTGAACCTGCTGTAACCACACAGGCCAACCATTATACTAAACGTAAATGGTATGAACCTGCTGCACCCACACAGGCCAACTATTACACTAAATGTAAATGGTTTGAACCTGCCAATTACAAGACTGTCACATTCGTTAAAAAAAACAAGACAACTTGAGCTTTCTAAAACAAAAAAACAAATTTAAATGTCATGATATGGACAAATCAAAATAATGCTTAGAGGAAGATATAACATGTTAAATGCTAATCAAAATAAGAGTGGTTGTGTTTATAGCAAAGTAGACTTCAGAAAAATACCATCCATTAATACACAGACACACACTTCATTCAATCTTTTTAAACTACCAGAAAACTCTATTCCATGAGTGGAGTGCCATGAAGTGACGTATGTGTCCCAACATAGATCTGTCACCCTAAGTTCCTGCATGATGGACTCGCCACCTTGTGACAGCATTTATCCCACCCATCCTCAGGAGGATCCCCCCACTCACCTCCTGAAATTGCTCAATGGCACTTACATTCCGAGTGTTGGAGGGATAAACACTCAAACCACAGCAAGTGTCCTCACAAGAGAAGGGGCCGGAGATGTGAGACCCTCAGAGGAGTGACCTGGCCTCTAGCCTGGGAGAAACCCACAGTGGCTCCTCAGCCCCTACAGAAGCTCCCGGCTCTCACCTACCTTCAGACTCTGTTGTTTTAAGCCTCCCAGTTTTTGGTAATTTGTTACAGCAGCCCTCGGAAACTAATCCTAGGCCTCTTTAAACACAGTAAAGACAAATGGGTATTTACTAGCATCTGCTCCAAATCCACCACAGGACATGTGTCCAGGGTATGAGGTGTATTGGTGGAGGAGCAGGCAATCCCTTCCAAGTGAACACTGCATCCCCAAGGACAGAACAAGGGAAAGGAATGCTCCAGGTAGGCAGATAGGATCTGGCATTTTAGTAATTAACCTTGTCATCTCATAGTAAAAATACAGCATGCAGTGCAATGTCTTTCACATAGTAAGCACTGGAGAGTATTTTGAAATAATTTAAAAATGAATAAAGAAATGAATTAATGATTAGTGTTTATCATGTACCACTAGGAAAACTTGAGAGTCCTTCATCCCTCACACATTACAATTATTGAAGTAATATTACTTTGTGAGAGTCACAAAATATTGACCAGTAGCCAAACAAATAGATTTTTTATCCAGGTATTCAACAACAGCAAACAGCCTACACCATAAACACCTGCCATCAGCACCTACGTGTCTGTCCTCAGCACCACACACCACGAATCGCCCGCAGGGGCTGAAGGCAGCTCCACAGGGGTGGCAGCGGTTCAGGTGCCCTTCAAAGTGGCGCTCACACCTACAAAGAGAAAAGATGACTTTCTAACTTCAGCACAAATCAGAGGAAAGAAACCACCTTGTTGCTTTTCTTTCCGAAAAGAACTAATAGTGAAGAAGTATTTGACATGTGAGGATTATTAAATGGTACATGTGTTATTCTGGAGTCCTTTACAAATAACTCAAGTACTCTTCAAGGTCATAAATTGCCAGAGATGACAAAACTAACAGGAAATGAACTTTTTGTATATGAAGAAGATTAAATTATAAACATATTCTGGTGATACTTAAAATTATAAAAACAAACCTTCTAAAATCATAAATTATTTGAAGACTTTTGGGAGGTGCAACACTCTACCAAGGGTGGTTAAGTTTCACAAAGTGTGATGTAAAAAGGGTTTTTTTTTTAATGTCAGGGAATTCATGCTACTTTTTCTACAGAATCTCTAGTACAAGTACACACATGGAAATATATATCAACTTCATTGTTTAATATATGTAATTGTCAGGATAGATACCATCTTTTTACTTAAATAGGATTTAACATGCTTACATATAAAATATTTTATATTTCATATGAACATGTAAAATTAATCAAATATGCATGACAGACTCTAAATGAATGACGTGGAGATGGTGTACCTGGATTACCCAGCTTTGGAACACTGGCGCCTGTTCACATGGACTCTTCACATGGTATACGTGTGTGCAACTGTGACAGAACATCATGTTTGGCTACATAATGTCTTAATTTATTCATCCTGCCTATCAAAGTCAGTATCTAATTTATTGAATACCTGCTGTGTCCTATGCCATGCTAATTCTGTAGGGATAATTCTAGCTAGAAAAAGTCCATAGATGGTGACCTAGGTTTTAGAAAATAATATGAGCTGTGTTGTATCCTGAGAAAAGATATCAAACCTGTGTGGAAATGTCACAATATTTGTCACACATTTACTTTTATCTTTCACATTAATGTTCTACATTAATTTAATTTTTTTATTTTTATATTCTTCTTTTACTACAAAAAGAAAAGAAGCACAAGAAAATGGGGTCAAATGGCAGCCCGGAGGCATAGTGGGCATCCTGCTCTTCTCTGTACACATATAGGTTTTTTCCTTTTTACAAAACTGGGGACACATTGTACAGCTTCATGCCCTGCTGCGCTCACTCACCTTCCACAAGCACCCCTATAATCACATGGTTTGTCCGTGCCCCTGAAGAGGCTTGGGGAGTGGTGTTGAGAGCAGGCGCTAGGGCCGGGCCCAAGCCCAGGCCCAGCTCAGCCCCATTCTCACCAAAGGGCCTTGAGGGTGTTGTCAGCCCCATGCTCTCTGTCCTCAAGTGTGGCATGGCTCAGAGGAGTTGAAACAGCGCCTGGCACCTGAGAAGCACTAGGTATGAAAGGACTGGGCTCAGAAGCAGCCCAAGAGCCAGAGGGTTCTCTACTGGGTGATGCAGCAGATGTTGCTGAATGAGCCAGAGGCCTGGCAGGCCATGGGGAGGGTGGGCAACAAGATGGGAAAGCCAGGTGGAAAAACATGCCACCCTCTGAAGCTGCACGTTAAATGCCTGTCACTAGCAACCAGATGTTGCTGGATGGCTGTCAGGTACTAAGCTGATGGCCATTGCTTAATGTCTGGAATGCACTCAGAGAAACGGGTGATCAGGTGGTTTCCCCTGTGTGGACCCCACTGAGTGCAGGTGCACACACCCTGACAGCACAGCCCCAAACACCCAGGTGGCGAGGAACAGCCTGTGCCCCTGGGCTACAAACCCATGAGACCAGTTCAGTACCAAATACTGCAGGCCACTGTAACAGTGGTGTCTGTATATCTAAACATCTAACTACAGAAAAGCTTCAGTAAAGATATACATGAAACAAAAAACCACTGTGCAATGATTGCAGTGGACATTGTTCTAGACCAGCGGTTCTCAACCTGTGGGTCGCAACCCACAGGAACTGTATTAAAGGGTTGCTGCATTAGGAAGGTTGAGAACCACTGTTCTAGACTGATCTCCTTCTGCCTATAAAAAGAAAGTCACTGTCAAACAGCCTCAGGTAGGTCTCTGGAGGTTTCCAGAGAAGGACTGTCATCACAGGAGACAAGAGCATCATGCATGTCTCTGCCCTGACCACCTCCCAGTGGGACCAGATGTGCAGGTGGAGATAGTGACCCTGACCCTGTGTGGGCCTAGGTTGATATGGCTATTTGTGTCTTAGTTTTCACCAAAAAAGTTTAAAAAGTGAAAGAACATTTTAAAAATAGAAAAATGCTTATTAAACAAGGATATAAATAAAGAAAGTATTTGGTACAGCTGTTAGTTTTAAGCTATTACTACAAAAGAGCCAAAAGTTAAAAAAAATTAAAGTCTTTACGAAATAAAAAAGTTACAGTAATCTAAGGTTAACTTATTACTGAAGAAAGAAAAGTATTTTACAAATAGATGCAGTGTGGCCTGAGTGTGCAGTGCTGAAAAGTCCACAGTGGGGCACAGGCCTTCAGGTCAGGCACCACCAACTCACCCAGAGCAACTTTCAGTCCCACCAGCTCCACTTGTGGTAAGGGCCCTCCTGAGGACATCTTGACACGCAGGAGCAGCCTGTGCTTACTCTAAGCCAAGTTTAGCAGAGGGAGACCAGAGCCTGACACTTCACATCCCAAAGGTACACCCACATTTTCTGTACACAAATCAGACAGTCACTGTGCACAGACTGACCCCAGCTGGGCCTCACCTCAAGGTTCTCAGATCCCACAGCTTCATCCCATCACCAACAGCAGAAGTTAGGAAGAGATTATAAGCCTGGGAGTGTTGGGTTGCAAACGATGAGCCCTATAACGTAAGGGGAATCAAGACGTGCTTTTAACAGCTGCATTAATCAGCATTATACAAATGATATCGAATGACATCCTAATCTATAGTAAGAAATTATCACAATCTTTTTTCTTATGTTTAACGATTTAAGAAATGGACTCCAAAAACTTCCAGATGATCAGGTGTATCCAGATTAAGTAGAATGATTTTGAAGTATTTATTTTTCTATTGTCTATAAGATTTGGCATGTTCTGTGTTTTTGAAATTATCTGTTACTTTCATTTATAAACATTAGTTGTCTATTTTTTGAGACTTTGGAAAAAAACAAAATAATAAGAAGTTAACTGATCAAAGTATTCTATAACATCTATATGACAATGTGAATGTTAGATAGAACTTTCTTCACATTATTACTATTATTATTGCTTAATATTTTGTTGCAACAATCGTCTGATTTCTTTTCTGAATGTATTTATCTTTATTCGTTCTTTATGAGGTTTTTGTTCTCAGTCCTTATGTTAAATATTGTTATTGTCATTAAATTTAGCCTTTTTAATTCTGTAAAGGCAAAAGTGGAAACCTAATATACACATGTATAAGAAAAATTAATAAAAAAAACTTTCATATGAAGAAATGAATGAGAACACATTTTGACCTTAAGACTATCAATGTCTATTTTCTCTATGTGTAATGTTGCCAAGAGACACAGAACTATAAGATGATCAAGGATCCAAGACCACAATATTAACATACCAAACTTCATTTTGGAAGTATAGGTCATGAGCCATACTCAAAAAATCACCTGAAAGATACCTCTTAATAAGGAACTTATAGTTAAGGCAAGTTATTAATCTGCCAATTATCAAACCCCAAAACACACTGGGCAGGTTCCTGGGTTGTCACAGGTGAGACCCAGACACTTATTTCCCTTGAGGTGTGGTTCCTTCTAAGATCCTGGCCCTGACTCTGTCTGGAGAAATTCTGTTGTAATCTGAAATGTCTCACTGCACAGGACTGAAGTGAACTCCATCTATAGAACCTGTGGGACAGGCTCGGCACCTGTGGCTCAAGCGGCTAAGGCGCCAGCCACATACACCTAAGGTGGCGGGTTTGAATCCCCAGCCCGGGCCCGCCAAACAACAATGATGGCTGCAACCAAAAAATGGCCAGGCGTTGTGGCGGGCGCCTGTAGTCCCAGCTACTTGGGAGGCTGAGGCAGGAGACTCGCTTGAGCCCAGGAGTTGGAGGTTGCTGTGTGCGTGATGCCACAGCACTCTACCCAGGGGGATAGCTTGAGGCTCCGTCTCAAAAAAAAAAAAGAACCTGTGGGACAGAGCATAGGGACAGACTGACCTAGGAAAAAGCCAAGTGCGACTGCCACCCATGAGCACCAAGCACAGTACTCACCAGACACAGATGCTGTCTCAGCCCTGAGGCATGGTCAGCAGGGATAAGATGAAGACCAGACAGAGGGCAGTAAACAGGATGTGCTAGGAGTTCTCCTTGTTTTGTAAGCTTCATTCTCTCTCATAATTAAAACTAGAAAATATTTAGTACTGAACGGCAATAAAATAGTACACACCAGAAATTGGCAAAGTGCAATAAAAGGCATATTCAGAGGAAACGGAGCTTTCAATGAACCCCTCGGCAGCGATCCAAGATAATTATCCAAGGATAATACACACTCAGTGGGGAGGTACCTGTGGCTTGACACTGCCGCAGAGAGGAGGGAGCCCCACACCCAATAAGGTTCTGCTTGAGACAGACCCACATCAGCTCAGGAGTGGTGGCCAGAGCAGAATGAGGGGTGGGGAAGCTAGAGTTTTATCGTACCAATAGTCATTTCATTTCTTTTCTTAAATACATCAGTACCTCAAACTAACAGAGCAAAATATCCTAAGTGACTACTCGTGAAATTCAAGATCTTCTGAGTAACAGAATTGTTTCACTAGAAAAGTTTTTAAACCTTTACATATTTTTGTTTTTTAATTCGAATTAGCTAATACTATACAAGGTAGCCAAACATGTATATGTACAAATACTGTATTCAGAGAGAGGACAAAGAGGAGTAACATTTATGTATTTTCATTCTAAAAATGAACCAACCATTGAGTGACACTAACACAGAACTTAAAAATAGTAAATATGGTCATCATTTCTGCATTTGCCACTCTTGTTAGTACCTGATGATAAAATGGGCTAAATTCTGTAATTTTCAGAAGAGATTATTTAATTGGTAGTGCATTCAAATACTAATTACTGATAGCTAACATGGCTGGTTACTAAATTAAAACAAATTAGAAAAGGCCTGTTTTGCATTTTACTGCAAACATGGCATTTGGGCTGATGATGACTTATGCTTCTCCCATACTTGGACTTGCAGGTGAGGGCTGGTGAGCAGCGGCTCCCAAGGGGCTGTGCTTCCCGTGAACACTTTCATGTACATTATGCAGCTGGACAAAAATTTTTAAAAAGTGTTTTTAAAATTAAGCTAAAACATAATGTAACTTTACACTCCTTCCCTTCTATTCCATCAAATACCATTCTGATATTTATTTTCGGGAAGTAAAATCAGTATTTTTCTACAGAAAACCTCAGAGGTGTGGGCACCTCTCATACAAGAGCCCACAATACCTGAAAGTTCACAGCCCAAGACCAGTGGCCACAGGACCTGTGGTGCAGCCATCACTCAAGCTGTTACAAAATGCAGGCGTTTTAAGCAGTTTCCTAAAGCAAAGATGCTAAAAGTCTTACTAAAAAGACAGGATTTTGAGTGATGAACTCTCCGGAGTTGCAGTGGCTCTGCAGTTCATACACCTGTGTCTGCTATTCAGGAAAGAGCAGTGGCCGAGGGGTCCAGACAGGAGATGAGCAGTCTGATGAGAGCTGCTGACCCTGAGGATGTGAGGCCAGCACCAAGGAGCCCCAGGGAGCAAGGGCCCGGGCAGCCTAGGTAGGTGCCCCTCACCTGCAGGTCTCTATAGCACTGGGGCCAGTTCTGCACATTAGGGACACACAGGAAGAGACGCTGCCTCCAGGGCAGGGGAGAGATGTGGTTTCAGGGCATCCTGGGGACATATGCTGTCCTTACCTGCCTCCTCCCACCAACAAGACCACTCACTCCTGTGTAACAAGAGCCAGCCCTTCCTGAGACATGATGCTTGACTGCTGGGACCTGCCCTCAAACACACACACCCTGCTCCAGGGTACCCTACTACCTGTAGCCATACCCTCTTACCCAAGTCTAACAGCTGGGGACATGGGACATGCCATTCATGTGCGGCATATCACACACACAGGTGCTCATCACACATACAGGTACACATCACACACACAGGTGCACATCACACATACAGGTACACATCACACACACAGGTGCACATCACACATGCACACGTCACACACATGCACATCAGTCACTCAGGCACATCACACACACAGGTGCACATCACAC